GCATATACACATCCCATTATTAACTCTACATATTCACGAATGAAACAAATGTTTTTCTTCCAATGTATTTTTTCAAACAGCTATGTTGTTAGAATATAAATGTTTTAAGTTATTTGAACAGAAATATCACTTATAAATGGAACAATTATCTTGTTCAACTTTTGAACCAAAGTATCACTTAATAAATGGAACCATTAATACAAGTATTTACTTTGGTGGGCTCTTTAAAAAAAAAAAAAATCCTAGCAACTCAGGAAGATTGCAGTTTGAAGCCATCCCCAGGGAGAGAAAAAAAAATCACAAAAAAAGGCAGAGTGACTCAAGTATTAAGAGTACCCACCTAGCAAGCATGAAGCCCTGAGTTCAAACCCCAGAGCCACCAAAAAAAATTTTTTAAAGGTTAAAGAAACTGTAAAAAGAGAAGATTTGGGAACCTCTGTAAATTCACTATCAGATACTTTAAGAGCATGACAGAAAAGGAAAAAAGTACAAGAATCATTCAGAATGTTTCCTATTCAATGGTAAATCGTGAGCAGTTTCTCTTTAAGCAAAAACTAAGAAAACATGCTAAGAGGGCAGCAGAACTTTTGGACTAAGAAAAAAATACTTCATTTACTTAAGAATCTCTAGATAAATATTATCAGCTTTTGGGAAATCTCAACTGTGTACCATGTGGTTACCTCAGTCATTAAAGAAAAGTATTCTAATTTGTGAATATAAGTAACAAGAATATAAGAATATAAGTAACTGCACTACTCTACTTTTGAGTATACTTGAAATTTTTAAGAAGACTGTTGAACAGTCTTCCTGTTGTGCAAATAAGCTAATAAAATAAGCACTGTAACTAGTTACATCACATTACATCCTCAGCACCCACAATGAAATTGAAGTTGCTTTCCAAAAAAATGGCATTTTCTTGCACTTCATTTTTTTATTTCAACACCCTTCTTATTTAGGATAAATATTAATCATTGTGATACAGCTGTTCAAAGGCATCTTGACAAAAGACTCATGTTTTCCACCATTTCACATAATCACATAAAGTGGGAATTTTGAAAAGTTAAGTTCTCTCAACAATGTTAAAGAAAAAATGTTTTGGGAGTTTACATAATGTCTAAATGCACACTGAATAGCCCTCTGAAATATTAAAAAGCTCTTTAATTAGAATTTGACAGACTATTTGATAATAGTGAGGTAAAGTGGCATTCCTAAATGCTTTTCTTAGAATCCAATCTATATAAACTCTAGCTAGTCCAATTCACTAATAAATTAGAAAAAAAAGTTTATGTGTAGTGTTATATACAGCTTTTCACTAAGTGTTTTTTAAATACTTTTTAAAAGGTAGAATGACAGTTTTTATTTATGATAAAATCATAAAAGAACTTTTCAAAATAGGGTTGAGTTAATTAGTCTTCTCAGACAGCAGAAGGCCAGATCAGGTCATTGATCTAAAAAGGAGTAAAGTGACTACCTGAAATTACTTACTGAACTCAGCTTCCGTACATGGCTATTTCTTCTAATCTTCACTCATACAAATACTTACTTTGGTAGGTTTCATGAACTCAACATAGTTTTAAACAATTAAAACGACCTAGGACTGGGATGTAGCCAAGTTACAGCAATCACCCTTTGCATGCACGAGGCTCTGGGTCTGACTCATGGTAACTTGTTGGGGGGTGGGGGGGGATGGCCCTTAGTTTATATATCAAATAAAGGAAATTTATGTTTTGAGAAACTGAGAAAATATAAATGAATATGTAGGAAGTCACGCAGGTTTGTGACTGTGTATATACATATATATATACACGTGACTAATTTTAGAAGCACATGGTCATACACAACTTTAGTTACCCAGTGTTGCATATCCACTATTAACACTGGAAAAATGCTGACACCTTCCTTTATACAGAAGGGAAAATGACTAAGTTTATTATCCAGAAACCCCTGACATTATACATAGTTTCTTATTTCCAATATCCTGAAAACATCCGGTTTCTTTGCTCTTGCTTCTCTGACTTCCTGATAAACACCAAGTTTAATGACAAATTATGAAAGTTATCTGAAGACAAAGCAATTAAAATCATTTCATCTTAATAGCAAAGCTATTTTGACAGCAAAACTATTTTATTATAGCATGACACTGCATATACCACAATTACATGATTTCACAAAAACTACTACCTGCTCCAATTAACAAAATATCTCTTTATAAAAAGTAGGTCCAAAAGGTTTACATTCACTTCTTCATGTAATTATCAAGGTAATAACAATGGTCACAGTAGATGCGAAGACAGAAAATCACAGAAATTACAGAAAATCTTCAAAATCTATTCTGTAAAAGTATATACTCCACTTGGATTACTCAAAGTTCAGGCTTCCTGGGCAACTGAGAGGATTTTGGTGCTATTGAACTTAATATACCCAAGAAATGGCCAGATTCCCTAAAAGTCTCGTGGCTTTGCTAACTAAGGGCTCTTAGCAAGGTCCAAAGATGCCAATGACTGAAGAACCTAATAGGCAAATTAAGATGCTGTCAATGATCCTAGCTGACACTCAAATGGCATGGCTCCAGAAGGATGTCTCAGTTGTGCTCTAATAGTTCAATTCCAGTTTCACAACTTTGCTAGGGTCAGAACTGGAGGGAGCTACAGCATGGCGCTGAACTTCTTGTCTTTGAGGGAAAACCAAAAGGAGGATGAAAGAGAAGCTATGCAGTTGTTGCAAAGATCTCAACGAGTTAACAATTACATCAGGTGTCATAAATATTACTACAGGCTGTTGGAGTGTCTGACCTACAACAGAGCACAGGCAGAATCAGACCCAAAATCTGGTTCCTAAATGTGAAGTAGTTAGTTATGAGGCCTTCAGCAAAACTGTAGGTATAGCCTTCATTTCTCACCTACAAAGTTAACCAGACAGCTCAGGTATATTCCTCAGTAACAATTCCAACTGGGAAATTTAAAATTCTAAATGCTTGGGCTCTACCGCTAGAATCTAATTTAATTGTCAGAGGCCTGCATATTTTATTTGTTTAATACATCAGCTAGTAATAATAGACAACCAATTGAGATCCACTGACAAAAAGGTTTGGTGAAATACTTGGAACTGTTCAGTATCTGACTAGGGTTGGGAGTTGGCATCTTGACACTTATTGGGAAATCCCAAATCTCTTGTCAACAAATAGAATGTTCAGGAATTCTAGAGCCAACAATGTCATTACTGCTGTGAAAGACCAACAGAGGTGAAAAGGATCCTGGTTCCCTCCACCATCTGGTATGGCTCAACTATCTCAATCAAGACAAAAGGTGTGATTCTCAAGGTGGAGGCACCTAGTTTCCAATTAATTCTAGATTTGAGCCAATGAAAGGAGTATCCATAAGGTAATAGCTAATGACTCCCTCACAACATTCCAATAAAAATTCTGGAGAAGGAGTGTGGGAGTCCTGCAAAGGAATAGTGTGGAAAGACACGAAGGAGGAATTAACACTGAGCATAAGGATGTTAGAAAAATTTCTAAAAGACAGAGCTGTCTCCAGAAACTCTTATTGCAAGTAAGAGATAATTAACCCTTTGGAAGTACATTTATCCCTGGTAACTGTACTCAAAGTACTTCCTTTTAAGCTCTATCTTGAAGGGCCTTAGGGTGTTTTCTGTTTAACAAAGAGAACCACAGAAAGCCAGGATTGTGCTCCCAGCTATGCCAGCAGTTATTAGTTGAACCTAACTATAAGAGGAGACTTTTATCTCAAAGCCAAAGCATACCCTGTCAGCTTTTCCAAAAGTACAGTAAAGACCAGGAACATTCTGTCACATAGAATGTCACCAGGAACATTCTGATGGGTAATTTTTCAAGTGTCATCTCACTGCAGAAAGATTCTGAAGTGGTCAAATCTTGCTGATCTATACCAGAGCTTCAGGGGAAAAAAAAAAAAAGTCATATTGGACTTTCGATTAGGTAATATGTAATGCCTAAAAAACTATAGTTTTAGCCAGGTATGGAAGCACACACCTGTAATTCCCCGCAGGCGGCTCAAAAAAAAAAAAAAAACTATTTAGTTTCTCCACTCTGTCTCTAGGGCTGGATTTCATGCTGGAAATTTAATCCAGTTGCTTCATCTTACAGACAAAAAACCAGATATGATTTGTCCAAGTTCACATAGCTATTTAATGGCAAGGCAAAACAGTACAGTTGGACAGTCCTGTCTACTTCATCTGAATGAAGCAGAGATTAATGTTGAGCCATTTACTAAAACAGGCTTTCAGGAGATAAGCAAGAATAAACTCATACAGCAAGAAAATTTTTCTAATGCTTGCATATAAGCATAAGCTACTCCAAGACTAAGGGAGACCAGAAAACGGTTTAACCTTGTCTACTGGATACATCAAAGACTTATTCTTTGCAAATTATGCCAGGCTAATTCTGTTAATTCTAACAGAGCTGATGATTCTTAAAAATTCTCGTGTCTACCAAAAATTTTCACTGATCTGACTTCTAACAGATAAAAAGAAACTATATTTTTCAATAATTTAACTTCTTCTTTCTAATAGGTACAAAGAAACAAAACACATTTAATTACACAGGGAGGTAACCCAAGTAAGTGGTAAACAATGGAATGAAGTCATGATATGTCCAGGATAACCAATGAGAAATGCTATTAGTCAGGTAAACAATCATTGTAGTCATATTCAAAAATAACCACAAATATAATTTTAGGTGTTAGAATACATTAATGAAAGGACTACTGAGACTAACGAAATCTGACATTTAATTCTTAAATTCATTGGGTAATCATTCCCACATTGTTTCCTTAACTAAATGGAACTGCAACTGTAACTCTCCTCACTGGTTCAGATGAAATACTGTGAAGGTACAGAGTAAGGTATATGGCACAAAGCAAAAAATGCTCTGCAAAGGAAGACAGGTATTAAATATAAGGAAATTTCTGAGTGACAGAAAATTTAGATTTTTTTAAAAAACTCTATCATGTGAAGGTGTGTTTTGAACAAATCATTTTTCTAGTATTAAGGATTATATAAAAAGGTGTTTAATGGAAAATTAGGAAAACACTAAGTTAAGCAAACTTTAACAACTGTTATTTAACTTTAAAATTTCTCAGAACTTTACATATAATGCATAGCATATTCACAAAGACCTGTGAGCAGCACTTTCAACTTATATAATCGCCTGCCATTTTTACACAGGTCATCTCATTGAAGCAGTGTTCACAGAACAAACTTTTGGGAAAAAGCATTTGTACTACGTATATTTCCTAATCCTTAGTGTTTGCTTGAATACAAAACCATAGACACTTTTGCTAGAAATTTTTTTCACATAAACGTTAAGTGTATATTGACGCATGTTGGCAAGCATTTTTTAAGTTGTCTATTCTAGTTCTAAAATTACACAACTATAAATCTCCTTAAATCCATTAAGACCATATCACTATCACATTCTCTTTCCAAAGAGTTATTATGAGTATCATAATTTGAAGAAGTCAAATTCTCCTTGTCTTAGATATGGATGTCTGTTACAACAGACAAGAGATCTTCCCTTCATGGTCCAGCAGCAGTTTCTGGTTGTCTTCTGGACCAGCCAGAATGAAAAGATGACTTCTATAACGCATCCTCTAGTTCGTTATCTAACAAGGAATCCCAAACAAGATTTAACCTGATTAATAGAGAAGATGTTCGAAACTAGGTTAAGAGACAGCAAACTGAGGTAAAACTGTATGAGAAAAACATGGTAATAATCTGCAGAATTTAAGTCTACTACTGTTTATTTTATCGTGTTTATGTGAATATTATAAAGGATGTGTTAGAAACTGTTGGCAATGGCAACAAGTCCTGCATCGGTTCTTGAATCCTCTTAGAGCAAGTAGAAAAGATTAGAAAGTTTGGCAAACACTTTGCATGGATCAAGACTCATTACAGACTTCTGAGCAGTGAATAATAAATCTGTCTAAAGGTTAAATCAAAGAGGTCATTTTATAACTCTTTACTAAGTAATACAAGCAACTTTTCTTCTCCCATTTGTAAGTTGCAGGCATGCATCATGGTTTCTGTGACCTCACAGCTACTCCTGACCCCCTAAATCTCTCCTTAAACTCTATCCGCACTAAACTACACATTACTGAGACAACCTCTTCCTCAGAAACAACAGAAACTTTCTATGCAAGGCTAGTAATACAAACTGGGAGAATAAAGTTCCTCACTAATTAACAAGGCAACAGTAACATGGCATCTGTTGTAGTACATGGTTTAAAAACATTGTAAGACTATTCAGTTTCTTTTTGTCATGGCTGCTATATTACAAACACTAAAGTATTTCCATAATAAATTCCTGGTGCTTTTTCATCTTAAGGTACTTTATTATTTTATAGCCCCACTATCCTACTCACCCTTTAGAAATAACATTATCTGTAGGAAAACATGGATTCTCCAAAAAGTATACATAGTAAATCACACTGACAATAGGTGTATTAATGGCTTTTAGAAACTGGCAAAGAGACAGAAGTCCATTACTATTCCCAAAGTCAACCACTGTCACACATCTTCATAGAGACATAAGTAGTAACAATGGGTTTACACATAAGAACAAGTGAAGCAAAGGCAAAAGCAGTTATCAATCTGTCTGATGTAGGCAATAGTGCTTTGATTATTTACCCGTAAAAACTCTTCAGTCCCTTTTAGTTATTCCCAACTTAGCGCTTAAGCTGTAGATTTTTGCTGTTGAACTCAGATGTGATGTAGCAGTTCCAGTAACTTTTTCATAGCACTGTATGTCAATAATGAGAGCAATTTCTAATGAATTTAAACTGCACACAGTACTTTAATAGAACAAGAAGTTTATTACTCCCACTCAGTGGTTCCTGGGGGCTTTGATGTTAAGTCATACATAATTCGAGAAATGCCAGGAATCTTCTTAATCTCTGTGACCATCTTTAACACCACCTACAATAAATACAAAGATCACAAATAAAAGATTAAGGATCCACCCAACAGTGCTAGAGGGCTCATATTTGCAATTCAAAATTAAAATTAATCTATTTTCACTATTAGTCTTCATGTATATGGGATGGTCTCTAATTAGTCTTACAGAGAACTTGTTTCTTTTTTTTGAGGGGGGTGTGGAAAAGAGGGATAAGAACTGGGGATTGAACTCAGGGCCTTTTGTTTGTTAGGCAGATGTTCTACTGCTTGAGCCATACCTCCAAGTCCAAGAACCTATTTCTATTATTCAAGGTTCTGCCTACAAAAAGGGTGCTACTCAGCGAGTTGTATTTGTTACCAGTCTATAACAAGTGCTTACAAGCACTTACAGCAATTTAACATTGCTATGGCATACAAGTATGTGACTTTAGTGTTTAAGTCAACACTTTTGTAAACATAAACCTTTGAGGCTACCAAGATGCCACGTGATACACTCTAATGTAGTCACTGTCAAGGATAACCCGGTCAGCTGAATGGTCGGAGATCTGGCTAAGTGAGCATAAGGAAAAACAGATGGTAAAGCCACATTCCCCAATCCAGCTGTCTAGCCATAAACAGAGCTTTGCTTTAGTGGGTAACTGGAGCAGTGACCCAACTAATAAAAGTCTCATTTTGATTTTCAGTTGGCTATTATGTAAAAAGCACCTCTGCAATACTGTGATGTGGGCAGATAGAAGGGTAGAGGAAAGTGATCAAAAATAGAACTGGTATAGGCAGAGTATCAGGCAATTCACGGATATCTGGCCATAATGCCAGCAAATCTCATCTTTATTTCTTTAAAAACAAAAAAACCACTTCTTCACTTCTAGGGTTTCCTTTTTGTTTGGTGGGCTTATTTTTGGTGGCAATTGGGATTGAGTCCCAGGACGCCCACTTGGGCCATGCCCCACCCCCCCAGTCCACTCCTAGGTGTTCTTCTTTACTTGGTTATAATGATTTCTAAAGCAGAGGTTAGCAGGATTAGATAAAATTATAGATTACAGTTGGTTTCCTTCTATGCAGTAATCGGGTATGTGGAAGACATTAAATTTAAGGTCTTTTTTCTGCTATAATGTATTAAGTCATCAAACATATGGAGATGGGGGGAAAAAATAAGGGAACCTATTCATGAACAAAGAACCAACCCCAGAAATGCCAACTTTTTAACAACCTATTCTAACCACTATATTATAAAGTGTCATAAGAAACTGAGCATGTACATTAGAAAAAAAAATAATAAATTACCTCTACAGGGATCTCGTTGCCAGGTGTTGCAGGTATACCAGTCATGAAGTCACTAGTAATAAAGGTTCGGATAACCACAGATCTCTGGCATGAAGGTTGCTTCTGAAGTGGATCCCGATCAAAATGTAATGGTGTCAAAATCACTGGCATCTGGCTGATTTTCCCAGCATACCCTAGAGAAAGGAATATATAGAACCAATCACTGCACCAAAAACACTCTAAGCTAGCTCAAGTAAATCCTATCAGTTAATATCTAAAATCACATATATACTTACATATCAGCTAATGCACAGAATTCAAGTACTTCCACAGAATTCTAATTACACTTAATCACAGATACAAACAAAATTTGCTCACTGCAGTGATGGTGCAGTAATGTGATACACAGAGGGAGAGTCGATTCTCATTATTCAAGAGTTATACTGTATTCTATACTGCAAACACTGACTTAGCAAAAACTAACCCATTTTTCTCCTGAGGGAAATAAAGAGTTAGGTTCTTACAAGACTCTGGTCTCATTTTCATCAACTGATCTACTATAATAACCATATTTTATATGTATTTCTGTTTAAAGATACCTTATTTAATATTTACTATAGACTCATTAACATTAAACTCACAACCAAGAACACTTATAACCCATGCTTTAACGTACTTTACACATGGATTACCTAACATATGACTTCTCTCAAGGTACATCACAATCACAGCCTTCTTGTGGTTAGGAACCCAGACAGCACTTTGGAATTATATTTGAGGGTGACTTTAAAAAGCAAATTCAACAACCTAACCAAAATAGGAAAATGCTAAAAACATGGCACCAAGTAGACCATGAAAAGAATACTTGTTTATAGTACAAGAGCTGAAATAAGAATGCTTATTGACTTACTCAATCTTAGCAGAACAATTCAAATGCTTCATTACTCTGATCTACAAATGGCCACAAAAGTAAATAAATTTCATTTAGAAAGGAGTATTATGGAATTATCCCTAATAAAATAAAAACAAAAGCATCTAAAAGTAAGTTACATCCTATTGCTGGAAAGCATAAAACTAGTCATAGTGTACAGTGATAAACAAAATGAGCAACTTACCAGACTCCCTGAGAATGTTATGGGCCTCAAAATCAGCTTGACGTAAAGTACTAAGCACCCCTGTTGTCAAGAAGGTGGGTGTAACATCTGTGGGAGGTTCCTTAACTGGTGGACCAAAGATATAGACAACTCTAGAAGGAAAAAGATGAAAATTATAGAGTAATTACATGTTAGTATGAGAAACAAGGCATTTACTTTTAGGCTCCTCTCATTACTTCACCTCCCTAAAAAGGTACAGCAGGATATAAGATTATAGGATGGTTTATGTTTTAAATGTCTCCCTTAAATGTGGATTCTCTAAAACACTAATATCTCAGAATGTGCAAAGGTATATGTGATCACGAGAACTTTTCATGTTCACCCAGAATCTGCAGCTATAAATGGGGTCTTTGCAGGTGTAATCATCACATTAAGAGGAAGTCAGACTGGGTTAGAGGGCAACCCTAATTCAATGACCAGTGTATACAGAGCAAACAGTATCATGTGAACATGGAGAAATTGTGAACTGGGTTGCCACAAGCCAAGTTCCACTTCATTAAAATTTCCACTGAGAACCAGGCGTGTGGCTCAAGTGGTAGAGTACCTGACTAAAAAGTACTAGGCCCTGAGTTCATTCCCAGTAACATACACACTCCACAGAAACAGGACACAGTATCCAACGACTTCCTTCCAAAAGTAGTATCTTAAATGTTTGTTTGATACACATGAAGATATACTCCAAGTGTTAATAAGTCTTCAAGTTAGTAACTTGAAGAAAGTAGGATCCCACAATTTGTAACAACAGGAAGTGGACCGTACTACTGGTTTGCAGGGAACTGTTTAATAATCACCACCCAGAAAACAAGAGGGAGTCAAGGGTAGAGATCAGAGTGCCACCTAGTTCTCCCTACTCCAACTCCAGCCAGCAGACAATTGTCCCTTATCCTTAGCCCTGTCTTTACAAAGAAAATAAATCTCCCCTGGTGACTATAATACAGATTCATAAGGTCTTTGGAATAAAATATAAAAAGAAAATAGCATTAAACCAAAACCACCACCATCAACTAATTCACTGACTCCTTGCAAATGCACTGTAAAAAGTTTTGTCCTTAGAAAGCAACCAGTACTTTTCAAAAACAATAGTTCTAGAACTTATGAACAACCTTTAGAGAACAAACCTATTACGCTGAGAATGCCACAGATTTCTTTTTATCTTCTCATTTCTTATGAGTGATCAGTAGAGTGCATATGCACACGCAGTCATTCATGACATACAATAATGAAACCAAAGAGTCCCTCCCTGCACAAAGATCCCCTCATGCAAAATAGGGGAAAATATTGGCAAAAATGGAAAAGTATTTTAAAATTACAAAAAGATCCTTGGCAAAAAAATCTAATGTCCACCATGACTTTAGTTTTTTCTTTTAGGAAGTTAGGCTTTTTAGTTCTTCTTTTTTGAGAGTGAATAAGGAAAGGAAAGACAAAAAAGGGGGTAAAAAGAGAGATACCACTACACCAAAGAATGAAATTTAAACAAGAATAAGTTCCTTTGGCAAAAGAAAAATAAAAAGACAAAACTATTAAGAATGCTGTGAAATGAAAAATATCCTAATTACACAATAAAAACATTAGAAATAAACTTAATGGAAGGAAATTCTGACATACAAAGTTTATCTAGGTATTAGCATTCTTTAGGTGATGAACCATTACTCTAACCAAGACAATTACCTCCTCTTGAAACAGGTATTTACAAATGCATCATTATTTACACTGTAAATAATTATTTTTATTCAGTATGTTAAAAGTGCTTCTGCATATGGACTACACATTTTATTAAGTATTTTCCCAGCTATAAAAACCTGTCTTCTCTATAACTCCTTAGACTTTGCCATGTTATTACTAACAGGTAGTTTACTAATTTTTGCAGCAAACTTAAGTAGAATGAAGCCTCAAGTAATTACTTTTGGCTGTTAACTAATATCCAAGAAGAATACTGGAGTCAGCAACTGTGAAATAAGAACATTTAATTAGCAATCTGGTACTGTTTACAAATGAGATTTTTGAACTGCAAGTGGGACAACACAATTGACTGATTTGAATAGTTATAAATCATCTGTTGATGTTTCTAATGTAAGAAATCAATGAGTAAATAAAAGGAAAATTAGGTCTAAATATGTAAATCATAGATGCAAATATAACCATTTCAATGATATATCCAAATGCCTATCTCTTTTCTTTGACTTTCCATAGATTACTATTAAATTGACAAATTCCTATTTGTAATTCCATAACCTGTAAAATTTTTTTCCAATTATTATGGGATAAAACATGTTACCATAAAACAGCATAAACTGCTAATCTGGAAGATATGCTACTTTATACTTTAAAAAAAAACCTTTCTATTTCTTCTTTAAATAAGCAGATGATTACATTGTTATGAGGATCAAAATACAAGATAACATTAAGTATTTACCTAGCCATAACAAAAGCACAAAAAAAAGACAAATAACCAAAACATCTAATTTAAATAGACTATAACTATAAATGGAGCCACTGAGTCTTATCTACTATCTCTTACTTATCTACACTTGAGCCTTTTGGTCTTTCACTAATGGAAGACCTTAAAAAACAAATCCTTTCCATTACATTTCACCCATGCTCTTCCATCTACCCTGCCTCCTGCAGAACATATAAATACCTGTTAATGTTATGACACATCCGAGGAATAAGCCTAGCGAGGAAAATAAGAGATTCCCAGTCAGGCTCATCTTTACTGGAGATTCCACATACATAACTATAGGAACGACAGTCACCCTAAAGAAGAGAATACAATCATTTTTAATAGTTTTATGTAAATCAAAAGATGGGTTGGAAAATATCTTAGGCATGATGACATGCATATAATAATAATGTGTTTTTTGCTTTTTAAAATGAAAAACATTGTTCAGATAAAATTATATTCCAGACACTACTCTAATAATATAATTAAAATCCCATATTAAATCCTACCTAAATCAGCTCAGACATAAAACATCACGGCAGTTTTACAAATTTATTTCACCTGACCCCTGGGATTTCAATCCAAATGCCTGCCCAACTATAGTGAGCCAGAATACTTAATTTGACAGGTAAAATCTACCCACATTTACTGGGCAAAAGATTCTTTTTTTTTTTATTATTGTTTTATTATTCATATGTGCATACAACACTTGGGTCATTTCTCCCCCTGCCCTCACCCCCTCCCTTACCACCCACTCTGCCCCCTTCCTCTCCCCCCTACCCCCTCAATACCCAGCAGAAACTATTTTGCCCTTATTTCTAATTTTGTTGTAGAGAGAGTATAAGCAATAATAGGAAGGAACAAGGTTTTTTGCTAATTGAGATAAGGACAGCCATACAGGGAGTTGACTCACATTAATTTCCTGT